GAAAAGTTGCATTTAGTCCTATCATAATGTGGTTATTATGACTTACTTTCGCGAGATTTTCCCACGCAAATGAAACAGCAGTAACTAACTGTACGTGTGAACGCTGATTCTTTGCACAATTTAAAAATGCCAACTCCTGCGTAAAAGTTCATTTGAGTTCTTTTGGGTAAGGCGATTCCATACTAATAACACAGGTAATTAGCAAAAGCCCATGCACGCGTGTTTCGCCGATATTCTGCAGCCGCATGACACAGTTGTGAGGGGTTCGGCTCGTTAGTGGGTGACTTTGGCTATTACCTGTGCTATTCGTATGGAATCACCTTAAATTAAAGTATACTACTAGCTGCTTGTTGGTAGTTAGTGAATATTACGTGGTTATCCTTTGTGGCCAATGGACTTCGGCCAAAATATTCACACATAAATAATTCGGTCTGAGTCTATAGACCTTAAATATACTGGTCTACTCCAAGTTCGCCGTTAATGTCTGAGGAAATTAAAAAGCAACAACAGCTGACTCCTCTTGGGATTTTTCTGTCCACGCCGCAAATTAACCGAATTGGATTTCTCAAAAAGTGCGTGGGTCAGTACCTCGTGCAAAACCATCCTCTTCTTCGTGGTGAATGATTAACGAGGAAATTCAAGAAACGCCAAGCGTACTGCATTTAACCATCTAGACATGTCACAAACAGCCATACTACATTTTGCAATAACGCAGCGTTAAAATTATCCTCCAGCTGATTTTGGAACATATTTTATAGCGATGACCTATCGTTGCTGACTCATGTGTAATAGTCTGGGGCCATTTTGACTGCCAGTTGGTGAAACTATGCACAGACTATTTTGATGAAGGTGTCACAGTTTGGTTTGGTTGGTTTTTTGGACGATTTTATGTTCGGGTTCTTGCAGTATCATACCTTCTATAAGTTGCGGGGTTTACGAGCCCATTGAAGTTTCCTAAGCTGTTGACCAGCGTTTCTTGAAAATTTGATCTCAATGGTATAAAGAACATAGGCAGTCGGATAATATATTCTGCTTAGAATATGCTCCGATATTCGTAGTAGTGATCCTCGATTCGCCTACATTATGCATAGTAGGCCCTCTCCGGGGCCGTTTTTGCAAACAGAGGTCACGTGGGGTGAGATCAGTATTCCGTTGACCATGTAAGGTTGAGTTTACGTTTTTTCTGATTACGTTACCGGGAAAGCTTGACCTCTGAGCAGCACCCTGTGAAAGTAATTTTGACGCTGATACGAAAATCTTGGTTAGCATTCTTGAAAGGCCCAATGCCTAACCCATGAAGTATCTGTTCTCTGGTCGGACATGCAATGTGTGAATCCATGGTAATTGCCTGGGTAATTGCTTGGGTATGGCTGGCTGACGACGGCTAATAAGCCAGAAATGGCCATTCCAGTCTCCCTTGTCTTTGTCGGTAATGCTATTCTGCCTATATATCATGCGCCGCTGTGCGGCTGCTGGTTGGGCTCGAGAGAGAGCCCTTAAGGCACAACGGAACTAGTGAGTTCCGTTTGAACGATCGGTGAGCGTCCCCTTGCATTGTATATTCCTGATCGAAAACCGACAGGGCAACGGGCTCGTGGCCCGGTGAGTAGAGGCGTTGACTTCTAAACCAACAGGTCGCGAGTTCGAGGCTCGGGTGTTCCACACTTCGGGCTTGGGTATGGCTGGCTGACGACGGCTAATAAGCCAGAAATGGCCATTCCAGTCTCCCTTGTCTTTGTCGGTAATGCTATTGCCTAATCTGTTAAACAAGCCCCTCCGAGAGTGTAAAGACGGTCCTTTATGTTACTCTAAGTTCTGCCACAGCGGTTTTCGAATGGGTTGCACCATGCGTCATAAGTCCCCTCCAGAGTCTTTGACTGAAACAGCAAAGCCATACAGGATGCAGGAAAAATTGAGTCTTTCGTCACACTGCTGTGAATGAACTAAATGTGGAGAAAGCATCTTTCTAGGTTATGGATGCGGTTGGCCGTTAATGACACTAGTGATGGGTTGAAAACTCGACGAAACCCATAAAAGGCGGATCAGTGTGTCTAACAGGTAGTTATTCCGTTTTAAACATACGAAACGTCTCCTGTCAAGCATCCTGGTCTAGCATCTAAGATGGTACACCTTAAATTACAGATATCCCCAAGGGGCATATAACCTGCGGGCTCGGTATCCAAATATCGGAGTTGGACATCATGCTAATTGGGGTTTAGTTAGGTTATACGAGAATTTGGGCGTTATTTAGCACACTTATTGCGACTAATGTCGCTACAAATCCATGTTCTGGAGAAAGCGTGAACGACGGAGGGACCGCCTGACGAACGAACTACTCGTGATTGTGTCTACCGACTGTATGGAACGATATCACACATTATGCCGGACCTCTGCATTAACAATCGGAGGAGCTGTCGGCAGGAACGCTTTAACCGTGAGCATTGCTCCCGCATCCATGTGACCACGACGTCAAAATGAAGAAGGCGGCCCAATAACAGTTCGACCGTCGTGCTCGACGACGTCCACCGTGTGCAACACAGCAGGATGAGTGCAGGCACGGAGACTTAGGCATGAATTATTCTGTAGCGAGAGTAGACTTGCGCAGCAGCTACCGCACTCTCTCCTCCCCTCCCACCCGAGCCCGGTGTCAAGACAGAGTCAAGAAGACCGGGGGCGGGGAGAGGGTGCAAGTGTCTGGAGCGACCGGACTCGCACCTGGGCGTACCACCACACCCCCTGGGACACAACAAATAGTTGATTAGGATTTAACCAACAACGACACCACAACGGTCCAGAAAGACGAGGATGGCTGGGCGGCCATTATAACGACCTGTTTGCCGAGCAGGAGTGCAAGTGCATCTACAGGCAGGGAGCCAGGTGTCAGAGAACTGCCGGCGCGCACCGGTCTGTGAGGGCCGTGGTTTGGTGATTTTGGAATAGGAGATGTTTCCATTCCTTGAGGCGAGCCAATGACAGGACTGATGACTGTCACAGACATAGCCAGCCATGCAAAATAATAAATCTATTTAATTGACTAGATGACATTAAAGCTGTTCATTTATGAAATGCTTTTATACCTCGGGAGATGAGCTAGACAACCAGCTGACCAGAGGGTTAGATAAACAAGTTAATGCTGCCAGAAATCGACCCATCTAATACAACGTTCGTGGAAGGCCTATCATCTTAGCCGTCAGTAATTCTCACCTTCGTTCTACCAATCTTTACCTCGACCGCATTTGCAGGAAGGTCGGTGAAAATCTATTGCGATGGGCAAAAACGCAATTTGAATGCATCTATTTTGTCTTTTGGTTAACTTTAAAGGATATCAACGTCGATGGGTTAAAAGGACTGTTTATAATTTATATCAAGCTATTGTAAGTAGACATGATATAAGAAAATAGTTAACCGGGACGGATTCTTTTCCGCGCCATAAGCCGTCATAAAAAGAGGCAACATTCTCTATCTATCAGAGGGTCAAGGTTGCTCGGCTGGAATGGATAAAATACATTCCGGATGAAAGCTACTGAGGCGATCGTAGTTTTCATCCTTCCCTAACGAACTGCATATCAAGTCCGAACTAAATTCTACGAATAGGTAAGTTGGCGTTTCATAAAACGATTGCTATGCATGCTGAAGTAACTTGATTTTGGAAGCATCACCAGA